CCTCAGTCGGTCAGTGTCTATCAAGGATATGGAGACTTTGGACCTCGACTACTACAAGTCTCTTCTCTGGATGCTTGAAAATGACATCACGGACATCATCACGGAGACGTTTGCTGTCGAGACGGATGACTTTGGTGAGAAACAGGTGATCGACCTTATCGAGAATGGTAGGAATATCCCGGTCACCGAAGAGAACAAGGAGGAATACGTGCAACGTGTTGTCGATTACCGCTTGATTGGGTCCGTCAAGGAGCAACTGGACAACTTCCTGAAGGGATTCCATGAGATCATTCCTGCCGATTTGATTTCAATCTTCAACGAGCAGGAGCTCGAGTTGCTGATCTCCGGTCTGCCTGAGATTGACGTCGACGACTGGAAGGTCAACACTGAGTACCACAACTATTCGGCCTCGTCGCCCCAGATCCAGTGGTTCTGGCGTGCTGTCCGCTCATTCGACAAGGAAGAGCGTGCTAAGCTCTTGCAATTCGTCACGGGCACGAGCAAGGTTCCATTGAACGGATTCAAGGAGTTGGAGGGTATGAATGGAGTCAGTCGGTTCAATATCCATCGGGATTATGGCAACAAGGATCGCCTACCAAGTTCCCACACTTGTTTCAACCGTAAGTACACAGAATCCATCGGCTGAAGTACCGCATGCTAACTCTGACCCGCAGAACTTGATTTGCCCGAGTACGAGAGCTACGAGACTTTGAGGCACCGTCTATACACCGCGATGACTGCTGGTAGCGAATATTTCGGGTTTGCATAAAACAACGGCGCTCATCCATCTTGTTGTTCACTTGAACAATGGGGTCATAATTCAACATGCTTTTCCGTCTCTCTAATGCTGAAGCATATGATGGCGTTTTCATGATTTTTTTTTATTCTTGAACTAGTTTGTACAATGCTGGGCTGATGGGTTTGTTTTCTTTGCAGAGGCATGGCCAGGACCGGGGGTTTCATTGACAATTCGCCTGAAGTGCAGGTCAGACGGCTGTCATGGTTACTAGAATGGTCCAGACCTGCCCCCGTTTAAATCCTTTTTCTTTTTACTCTTACTTTTACAATTTGTTGCTTTCAGTTTCTGTGTTGAAAGGTTTTCTCATCTTTTGTACTTTCTCCCCATCAGCCATGGTTACAGATCAGATCAATACGATTGTAGTTCTGTTATACTCCTCCATCCACAACTCATATTTAGTTAGTTACCCAATTACTCATCATTGCCCCGATCCGGGAGTCTGGAGGCGGTAAGGGGAAGTGGGTCCGGGGTCACGGGATGGCATTTTTTTCTGCTGGGCGAAAAAGTCACCCGCCGGCGGGGCATTCGATCTCAACTTCGACTTCTTCAGTCGCTTTTCGGTTTCCGGTGTATGCGCCTCTCGTCTCTTCCGGGCATGCTCTATCTTGATTACTGACGTGGTTCAATTCTCATCACATCCGAAAGCTGCCTGCTCATCGGATCCCTTCTATTATCACTTTCCCGTCTGCGCAATCCCCCAGAACCTTCATCTCGCGATTCACAATGGCAACCAACTCAATCAAGCTTCTGACTGGTAACAGTCACCCCGAGCTTGCAAACCTCGTGGCCGCTCGGTATGCGCTATAGAAGGAGCCTTGGTTTTAGTCCTACTGCATATCATGGGCTAACAAGTTGCTTTGACCGGCAGGCTTGGCATTGAGTTGACCAAGATCATGGTCCTACAATACTCCAACCAGGAAACCAGCGTCACGATCGGTGAAAGTGTACGAGATGAGGATGGTATTGTTGCCCTGGCTCTGTTCATTGTCTCTTTATTCGGTGAGGAGAGAAGTGCTCGCCGCTAACATGGACTTTGGTTTGCAGTCTTCATTCTGCAGTCGACGCGCCCGAATGACATCAACGACGGTCTGATGGAATTGCTTATTATGATCAACGCTTGCAAAACCGCCTCCGCCAGACGTATCACAGCCGTCATTCCTAACTTCCCCTATGCGCGCCAAGATAAGAAAGATAAGAGCCGTGCGCCGATCACCGCGAAGCTCATGGCCAACATGCTTCAGACTGCCGGCTGCAACCATGTTATCACCATGGACCTGCATGCCAGTCAGATCCAGGGCTTCTTCAACGTCCCCGTCGACAACCTGTATGCCGAGCCTAGCATGTTGAAGTGGATCCGGGAACATCTGGACGTGACCAACTGTGTCATCGTTAGTCCTGATGCCGGTGGTGCCAAGCGGTAAGCAACTGACACACTCGATCTTGTCCTGCGGACGCACGTGCTGACAGTAGAACAGTGCCACTGCCATCGCCGACCGCCTTGACCTGCAATTCGCCCTGATCCACAAGGAGCGTCCCCGCCCTAATGAGGTCTCGCGCATGGTCCTCGTCGGTAGCGTGAAGGATAAGGTTGCCATCATTGTTGACGACATGGCCGACACCTGCGGTACCCTCGTCAAGGCCGCCGACACGGTCATGCAGCACGGTGCTAAGGAGGTTAACGCCATTGTTGTCCACGGTATCCTCTCCGGCAAGGCCACCGAGAACATCAACAACAGCTGCCTCAGCCGTGTCGTTGTGACCAACACCGTCCCTCACGCCGAGAAGAAGGAGCAGTGCGATAAGATTGAGACCATCGATATCAGCCCTACCCTTGCCGAAGCCTGCAGACGTACCCACAACGGTGAATCCGTCAGCTTCTTGTTCTCTCACGCCGTCGCTTAAATGCACCAATGGTTTTCGACAGTGCGAGGGTGGAGGTAGCACGGTGCTGCGTTGTTGATTCGCCCTCCATGTTGAGCATGATTAGGTTCTTTCACGCAGATTGAAGGACGCTGGGATTTTTCAACTTATGATACTAGCAGCTCGGACGGGATGTAATAGTCCCCCCTTGCGCCTTCGCTTGTTCTTTTTCTTCTTCTTCTTCTTCTTCTTCTTCAAACGCAGCATCTTTAGATTATGAGGATCGCATGAAACACATGAGGCAGTGAGCCCTGGACGGGATGGATGGAAATGGATTGAGAGAGATAAGGGGGGGGGAAAAGCCAAGGCTGTCTTTTTCTTTCTTTGCCTGTTTTGGCTTTGTTTATCAACTCCAATTAAAGCATATGTACATATATTTACAACCCCCTCGGAGTTTTGCACTATTTCGGTCTGAGTTTGAACTTCGACCACCAAGTACCCTTTATGAGCGGAATGAAATATGAAATGGATTTGATCGAGATTTTGAGGTTGTGCTTGATGTTTGACGGTGTAGACTGGGAGATATCCTGGATTCTTCAATTCCTTAGATCGTATGTGATTTGTTCAAATAGAATAGCACTTCAAGATCCGGAGCCAGGGGCTCTTGCAGATTGTGAGCCATCTGAAGAGCGGCCCGGATTGAGGCAGCCATTGGGAACTGTTTTCTCGATCTTTAGAGCACGAACTTCGATCCGGATTGTCAATCCGCCTTGGGTTTACTATGTACTGTAGTACCACAGGAGCAAAAACACAGTATCAGATTGATCAATAGTGAGAAGGAGAGCATCTACCCACCCTCGGTACATATATATACATACAATGCATGTCGCAGGTTATTACCGAGTGCAGTAACTTGCAATATCGAGACGCACACACTCGTAAGCACTACTAAAGGTATAGCGTCTACTCCCATGTTCTGCAACTACGTGTTAACATAATCAATCTAGCTGTCGGATACAGTTGCAGCGGGCGATGCCAGTGTCCAGTAAGTCGGCGAATGTACCTTCCTCAATAGGAAGATGGCTCCCGCTGCCCTGAATTCCTGACCTCGTCGTCTTTTGCTCACCCATGGATTATAAGTAGCTGAATTTTATTCAGTGTTCGTAGTCTCATTCTCCCAGTACTGACGGAATCTTGATACTTGGACACGGTCTCTCTCTCCTTTCTCTCTCCCACTTCCGATCTAGCTATAGAACATTGAAGTACTGCATTCAACCCTGCTCTATATAGACTAACCCCCTCCTTTGGTTTTGAGTCATGAGTCTTTTATATTGAACAAGCTGCAGTGACCAGCTCAACCCAAGAGATATGACTTCGAGTTAAATAACAAAGAATCCCACGCCGGTTGCTCCTCATACATGCATAATTTGGGATAGAACATATGGTTTCTGAGACAGATCCAGTGGGTCCCATCCCTTGGGGAACCACTCGAACCGAATGAGTTGACTGACTTGACTGCCGTATACCTGCTAGGGTATGTATGCATAGTGGGCAATGTGTGGGCTGGTTGGACAAGGAGTGCCTTAGTTGTGATTTGATGGGGATTGTTTGCGAAAGTGACACCGTAAAGCTTAGGCAGGAAATAAAAGAAACCTAAGGCAGTGAGCACCGGCCACTCGGGGGCCAGATTGATTGATAAGGGCTTGAGGGGGTTTCTTTTAAAGGTCCGGTCCTCGGTGTGTTGCTGCCCTCTCCGCAAGTGGGCGGCGGGTTTTTCTTTTTTGTGGGACGGGTTGGGAATTGGATTGTGAGGTGGAGACCACCACACACATTGCGGTGCACTGCACTGCACTGCACTACACTACAGTTATCACTTTATGTACAGTACAGTTCTGGGAGAGAGGGGTGATTATAGAAACCTAGGGCGAGCTAGGGCTGTATGTGGTCTTATGCCATTTTAAGTGAGTGGTGTTGAGCCTGTTTATTTAGGTACTGTACAGTGCAAGGTTGCTACATCGACCTGTGTGCAGGTGGAAAGATAGAGCTTTGACTCTTAAGAGGACACTTAAGAAGTTTATTCACAACAGAAATTGTGGTAGTGGCAGATATTCAACCTCAGATGAGAAAGAAAATAACCTGGGGAATTCTACAAGGCTTCAATTATCCTTACCTGCGAGGTTTGAGGGACTTTGCCAATCTCCTCAATGTTGAAGACGCAAAGGTGAAAGATGTTTAGAAAAAAAAAAAGGAACACAATTTTAACATTTTTTGCTTTTCATGCCCGTTAGAAAGGTTTGGGATATTGCATTTCCATTTTTTGGATAAAACAAATAAAGTGGCACGCCAAAGTCTTGGTCCCGCAGACGCCCATAATCTCCTCCGTCCCCCAACCTTTTCTCCTCTCTAGATTTTCCTTCCGTCAAGGAAGTCGTGGACTACGTTCGTTTCCCCTGCTACGGAGTGCAAGATAGGATGCGGAAGAGAGAGAGAGAATGAAAGAGAGGGAAGGAAACCCCCTTCCCGTTGCTGAGATTTCCTTTCCTATACTTTCTTCCCCGCTGCAAGTCTCTAACATGCACTAGAACAGAGACGACACAGCCCCGACCATTATTCCCCGTGGACGAAAAACATTTACTTTCTCATCGAAGAGGCTCTGCGCTTGCGGAGCTCGTCACGCTTGGCCTTCTCCTCGTGGACACGGCTGGCGAGGAGCTTGGCGTAGTCGTTACTGTTGGATAAGTGGTTAGAACAGATCATGATCCGAATGACCTGGAAACGGTCGGTAGGATGGGAACAAAACTTACGCAGCATCGCGAGCAGCCTCAGCGCGGCGGCGCTTAAGGGCAACCCTTTGGCGCTTGCGCTGGAGACGCTGGGGAGTGACCAGACGCTGGATCTTGGGGGCCTTGGTGTAGTCGGCCTTGCCCTCACGGGTGACGGTACGGCGGATGACGAACTTGCGGACATCATCCTTCTTGTCGAGACCGAAGAAACGACGGATCTTGGTGGCACGCTTGGGGCCGAGGCGCTTGGGGACAACGGTGTCGGTGAGACCGGGGAGCTCACCCTCACCCTGCTTGACAATGCTCAGGGCAAGGACGGCGAGATCCTGACCGGTGATGGCTGTGGAAAAGAAACATTGCGTGTCAACACCCCCCGACTCGTCGTTTAATCTCAAGGATCTCGGATCTGTAGAACATACCACCACGGACACTCTTGCGCTTGCGCTCACCGGTGCGGCGGGGGCGGTAGCAGCTGTGGCCCTCAGCGAGGAGGAGGCGGGTACGGGTAGGAAGGAGAACTGTTCAAGAGGCGAAATCGGTAAGTTTCCTGTCTGGTTTGTCGTGTGATTGGGCGTTCATATTTGGTCGGTTACATACCACCCTGCTTCATGGGGAAACCTAATCATGTCAAGTCAGCCTTCATGTCTCGATATACGAATGCATGTCGTTCCAGTCTGCTGCGCGCATCCTTCACCCCCCGAATCTCTCCCCGCTCTTCCCACAACCTCTCCAACCGGCGCAGCAGATGAAAGACGAAGGAAAAGCGGTGTTCCCAAATCGTACCTTGCTTGTCGTTACCACCGGTGATCTTGAGGAGGTAACCCTTGAATTCGTCACCGAGGGAGTCGCCGGGGACCTGTAATTGCAAAATTCATCCCAATCAGCCATTCTGTTCATCCACTTCCCCCGTCGTGTGTGTGATCGTGTGCAAATGTATTTCTGAAGGTTTTGTGTGTGTTCTTTTTCTTTCGATGTGTGGTTTTCCGAGCGCGTCCATTTTCTTCAAACAGGGGAGGAGAGGGTAATGCTGACTTCGGTTCCCATGCGCTTCTCCATGAAGGGACGGAGCTTGCGCTCATCGTCGATCTCGATGATCTTCTGAGACCCATTGGCCGGGTAGGAGATGTTGAGCTTCATCTTGACGGGGCTGCGCGGTCAAGACGGAGGGCGCGGGTTTGTCGACAGGTCGATGAGGTTCAGGTCGTCGGGGATTCGTTCTTCGTGGGATTTTTTTGGTGGTGTAGCGAGATTTCCCTGTGTGGGCGGATGACTAATGCCACTAGCCCGTTGCGTGCTAGCGCCCTCGGTAGGGCTCTTATGTCAGCCGCCGGCACCTGATTTTGCTGTATGCCTGAAGCTGCAGGCATCTGCAGATTTCTGGTAACACCTACAAACTCAGGCATGAAGAGAGGCACCAGCCAGGCACCAATCAGGCACTTCACCAGGCCTCGTTCGCAACTGTCGCACGCCCAGCACCAATGAAGATCCCACCCTGGGATTTAACCAAGTATTCCAGCGACTACAGTACACTCACCACCATCATACCCTCCGCTCCTTGCAATGCAATTCTACAAATCTTTGTCAATCCGAAGACACGGCGAACAATGCGCATTCTGACATACATTACGTCCAAGTCGAAGACACCCACACATACAACCTACGGTACGTAGCCAGCAGCAAACGCACATACCCATTGTCAATTCACACGGTGTCAAGCCACCCAACCCATCGATTAATGAATGAACGAGCATGCGGGTCATCCGCTTTCACTTCTACCAAGCAACGGCGCAAATCAAGCCACCTTCAGGAGGACATTCCATGCCTGCCAATCAACCTATTCCCACTGCATCCCGTATTTGAGATTCAACCAGAAGACTACGCCGCATCAAATCCCACCTGGTAGGACTCGTGCCCCCCTCGTCTCGTGCAAGTAGAGTACTCTCCTACGTACGGAGTACTGTACAGTTTACTGTATGTACATCGTCGTTGGTGGACTCGCCAAATTGGATTGTCCCAATTTCCCCGAAATTCGTCATCGGAGTTGTCGGTCGAGATTGACTATTTGGAGATAGTCGGCGGCGCGGGGTTATGCAGTCCGCACGCACCTCACACAGTCACACGTAGATAGATTGGGAATAGATTCGATAGATCGATCGATACCGTAGCATGGATATCAACGGGCAAGATGCAGTACAAGTAGTGGACACAAATGATGTACCGAGTGTGAGAGGAACAGGAAAGACCCGATTCTGAGTAATTTCTAATTTGAAGATCTGTCCCCAGGTTTTTTTTTTTTTTTTATCTGGCTAGACCTGACTGCATAGCCTACATGTGGTACGTATGAGTACTCTATGAACGGCATTCTTAGGGTAATCGAATATGGGTAGAGGATCTCGTTGGAGTAAGTTCAGTTACGGACGGAGTAGCGACTTTTACCAGACCACTGACGCAACCAACCCCCCAAAATCGGCCAAGCAAAAAGAAGCACGCGACTGGTTACCGTTCCGAAGCCCGCCGCGCGGCCACTGGAAGATGATTTGACAGCCTTATTGCGGCCATGAGGCGGCGGCAGCGGCAGCAGTAATGATGCTGATACAGTAGATAATAGTATGGTTCAATGTCATCGTGGTCTTCTCCATTTGTCTCCCTCCTGAAGAACTAGAATAGTATACTCGTAATCAATGCCTGAAACTCTCTTGGAGGGGCGGCGAAAAAGAAGCACGTCTTTTCTGTCGTCTTTGGGACTTCTCTTTCTTTCCCCTTTCAATCCTACTACGCTTATCTACTCTCCCCTTTGCCCCGATTATCCATCCCTCTGTCCCCCTCCACCCCCGAAATTATCGTACTCGTTCAACCCTCACAGAAATCCTTCTCCAGTCTTACGTCCCCACTTATCCGGGTTCGCTCGCTGTCTATCGCCACGCTAACTTATCGTCTGCGGTACCACCGGAAGACGACGTCTTTGTCTTTGTCGGGTCCCTCCCAGCTTGTTAAATTAGGGGAAAAAGCAGGAAAAAAGTCCCTACAGACTACTTTACCTACTTACCACTTTCCTCTGCCTCTTCCTCTTTTTCTCTCTCTTCACTCTTCTCTACTCTGTTATACTGGGGTTTCCTCGTATTCGCTTTTTCTCTTGCTTAAGACAAAACTTGATCAACTTCCTTCGAAACTTTAAAAACGGGCGCAAGCTCTCCTTCTGTCGGCTTGGAACACGCCCGCAACAAAGACATCGGCCGGTCGCTTCGAGTGTCTATCGGCTTCTCCGCGCGCCAGCCTTCACCACCTTTGTCGCAAAACTCGCCGCCGTCCTTTGTTCGCGGCCCTTGATGTCAGGTCCCCATGCGCCTCTTTAGCAAGTTCCACGCCGTCTGCGCCTTGGCGATATGCAGCATCCTGCTTTCTGCCTCATTCCTCGCCTCTCAGCACTATTATCGTCGGGTCGTTGCCGATGAGCCATCGATCAAGCTTCGCCCGGCAGCGTCATTTGACCGACGCCTAGTTGTCTTTGGGGATTCTTGGAGCGACGATAATGCCGCTGAGATCCAAGGGTCCGTTTGGACCGAATGGCTGTGCTCCTCGGTAAGTGCAGTGCTATGAGACCAGATCCATTGCACTAAGTATGACAGGCTAACCATCCCTTCCCTGGCAGTTTTCATGTCACCATGAGAACCTGGCCGAGACCGCCAAGTCTTACAGTGGAAATTACTTTGGCTCGGTCGTGGATAACTCACAGCTATCGGGCTCTTTACTCAACCTATACAAGTCTCCCCTGGCTGACCTGAAAGCTCAGGTCAGCAATTGGTTGGCAGCCGAGACAGAAGTCATGCAGGCGATGAACGCAGAAGCGATCGGCACCCGTCAAAACCGGACGATTGTCATCCTTTCCTTTGGCGTGTGGGACCTGTGGAATGTTGTGGGCAAGACATACAAAGAAGCGACCCAATCGATCGACATTACGCTGGACGTGATCATGGATCAGCTCAATCTGCTGGCGGAGCTCTGGGGTCACAACGATTTGAAACTTATCCTGACTTTGGCCCCGGATGTGACCTTCTTGCCTGCATTCCGAGTCCAGGCCGAACAACACCAGGCGAAACAGAAAGACGCTATTAGCATGTCCGACTACTGGAACCAACACCTGCGACAAAGAGCGGATGGCTGGGGCAATGGCACGATCTATCTGTTCGATACGAACGCTTTCCTAGCCGACCAGATCCGCGACTGGCAGCTCTTCGTTGCTGGGATTGAGGAGACCAATGGATTGGGTAAGAACGAGGACCCCGGCTGGGAAAACGTAGAAGACGCATGCGTCCAGAGCAGCCAGCAATGGATGGTGACATCAGAGACGAAGAAGTGTGACCGTCCGGAGAAGTTTTTATTTTGGTAAGAACAAGGCATTATGCTTGGCGCTCATGACTCGACTGGAAAGGCTGACCAATTTTCCCCTCAGGAACGAGATGCATTTGGGACCGTCCGCGCACCGACTTTTGGGCATGGAAGTCTTTCACGGGATCCAGGAGATGTGGCTCCGGTAAAGTTCTTTACACGAACAAAAAGTAAAGAAACCCACATCAGACACAAATGAAAAAAGAAAAAGACAGACAAAGAAATGTTTCAACTTTCCTTTGATGGGATCCTGGCCATGCCACTTAGTCGTAATTCGCTCTGCAGGGAGCGATGACCTGTAGAGGATGACTGGTACCCACTGGCCTGTTCCCGAAACTATCAAACGCTGACGGAACAGGCGACCAAAAGGCCTTGGGCGCAGCTCTCTGTCGGGCCTGCACACGGTCGCAATTCAGGCGATGCTGGAGTGAGACTTGAGACCTGTGGCGTCACCAGTGGAAGGTACCGGATATCATTACTAGCATCCGGTTGAGATAGCAGCTGAGCCGAGTTCTGACAGGGTTTAGAGGTCTCAGGCACGGCTTCAGATCTGAATTAGGGATTGGCAAGGTGGTATGTCTCATTGAGAGACATTCATTGAGAGACCGGGAAGAACAGCAGCAGAGGGTATTCGTGACGTCTGCTTCAGTCGGGTGGAGGTTTGCTGTAACGTGATTGTAACGTGACTTGGTGTATTGGGGAGGGGTGCCAAGGGTGTGGGTGCGGCATGCGATAACCAGCAGAGATTCGGAGAAGGGGATTGACTGGGTCCTGCAACCTCAACGTATCAATGAACCAGTACCTTATACTCCCCGAAGGCCTGGAAGGAGTCTGGATCCAAGGTGATCAAGAATGATGCAAGATGAAGAGGGGCTTCAGTGGGTACTGGGTAGTATTTTCCTTTGTGAAAGACAAGATTAAGTTGGTCCTGGTTTTGGAAGAAACAACAGGGGAAAATAGTTGGGTAGGGGAGAAGGAAGAGGAGGAGGAGGCGGAGTGGGTTTGGAAAGAACAAGGGGGAAGGGAAGGGGACTACCATTGGTCTGATTTGTCTCGTTTAAAGAAGTACAGTACATTTGAGAGTTCAAAACTACTTATGCTCTTTGCTTGCTCTGCTCCTTTGTTTGAATCAAAAGAGAGGGGGTGCGAGCGGCTGTCAGACAGTCTCGGGACGATCAATCACTAGCTGATGAACTTGGTAGCTCAAGCAAATGAACTATCTGTCGCGGTCTGTTTCCTATGGGGGTAAAATAGGCAGAGAGCTGAGCCCGGATGGGAGGCCGCTAGTTCCGCTTGGCCTGTCAGTGGGTAGCTTTTTGTTAGCTGCTTAGCCCCGAGGCCCAGGTACCGGTACCTGGGGAAAGGCGATTTTACGAACGGTCTAGATCTGGGTCTTGCGTGTACACACAGTACTCCGTAAGTACAGAGTAGTACCCTGGAATGGAACTACAGTACAAGAAGACTAGAATACTCATATGTAGTGTAAATGGAGGAGGATTCTGATGATAACTGGAACTTGTTTTGAAAGTAGTTGATAGTAAACTGCAGGGTAGTACTGTACCTAGTACTTATCCTTGGCTGATTGCTACTCCATTGTCAGGAGTACGGTCAGTACCTAGTAGTTAACCCGACCAAGTCCAGTGAAATTGAAGAGGAAGAGGTACAGTACACTTGTTTGGGGAGGGGAGGGGGGGCAATCAAACCCCAAGAGCAGTTCTCGCTCATTACCTTTGGACCTGATTAGCACTAAAGTTCGGGTGTCACATTGGCGGTGGGGAGGGAGGGCATGGAAGTAGATGTGATTGGCCTCGGATGGCAGCCGCCCACCGCATGCGGACTCCCCGAGAACAAAGGAAACATTGCGAACAATACCCTTCCATCCCATCTCCCCATCCTGTCTCCGTGACTATCACCTTCATCATAGATGATTAGGAAGTTGGTAAGTAGGTCATCACTGGACCTTTCTGATTCGAGTTAGTTTAACATGATTCTGTTTGCCTGTAGTAGGTGACTTTGATGACTCAATCAATCACCCTCATCCTCATCCCTCCCCTGTTGACAGTCAATACCGTCATTATCCCATCCCATCCCATCGATCTCCCTTTGTTACCACTCCACCTAGTAACAATTCTTCTCTTCCCTTCTCACGCCCCAAATATAATCTATTTATGATGTCAACGTTTCGGCATCCCACGGACTACCCATTGCGGTGCTCTTTCTATTCGATTGTAGTATGGGCAACCTGCATCCCACTCGATGAGATTTGGGGTTTCATTTGGATCTCGAGGAGAAATAAACTATCTTGTGTGGTGGTGGAGATTTCCAACTATAGCCGGGCTATTCGGCTTATCCTGGCAAAGACAGACAAAGAAACCCCGGTTCCAGAATTAGATGATTTCATGTAGACTAAAACCTAAGACGTACGTAGTAGGGGAGGGAAAAAAAGCTAAGGCACCGGGGTCCAAAGATAGTCGGCTCTTATAACAAAGCACTTCAGAAAGCCAAATCCCCTCCGGCTTTCTTCCCCGGCGCCCTCTCTTTTTGGTAGGTTTGGTTTGAATAGGACCTTCCTATCATTCATTGTCAAAAGTTCCCCTCCCTCCATAATTGAGATTCGGACGAGAGACAGAGAAAGAAAGGAAATAATTCGAAGAGGGCTGCCACAATAAAGAAACGAAAAGGCAACCAAACCAACCCTATCCTTGACGCCCAGGGAAAACAAAATAAGAACACAAGTCCCTTGCCCATCGTTATTGGTATTATTCTCATCATCATCATCTTTATTATTATTATTATTATCCTGATTATCTCTATTTCCACTACCATTTGTGAATTTGTGAATACCGAGTGTGTCGCCAGCCCAGCGACGTCCCCAACCACGAGGCAAAGTCATTCGTTTTTGGCCTCCTCAGCCCTTTTGATTGATATGTGCATGTCTTTCTTTCATCGGCCTAAACTTCCCTTCGCCTCTATTCCTTTCTTTCGTCCTGAATTCCGAGTTCTATCCTCTATAATTCTTCCCCACCCCCCTTCTGCTCTCTTTCAGCGGTTGTTCCGTCCTTTCACTCCATCTGAACCACAATCACCAACGTCCCGCGCCCTTCCTTTGCTCACCTTAAGATACTGGTCGGCCACCCCCCTCGACACTGTTTTCTTAAATGGCTTTTGATCGAGTTCTTCCCAAGCCCCCTGCTTTACGATATGATCCTTCTTTGGCCACGCTACCTCTATCAACCGGTAGTCTCCTTGACCATAAGATTATGAACGACGGATACTCGAAAATGCCCGTGATGGACCATCACCATCGCGATGCCGCTCCGTTCGTGGCGCCTCGTCGGTGGGCCGATAGCTTCACCCATACGCATATGGCCCACAATCGGCACAAGATGGCCTTGAACAAAACCGTACCTTCCCTGGAGGCCTCGAAACCACCGACTTTTTTGGGCACCAAGTCAATCCCTCTACGCGAACGGCCTTCCGTATCAGAGCGCTCATCCTCGTCCAGCCCAGTCAAAGCTGTGGCTCCGATCACGAGAGAATCAGCAGCCAATTTCTGCCTGTGTCAGCCAGATCCGAAGATCCCCAGACCTAGGAACGGTATGTAGCTTCAGGCGCACGGATAGCTGTCGCTATCGTACCTCCATGTGCAGACCAGCTGACGAAGGCAAATGCAGCATTTATCTTGTACCGTCAACATTGGCAGGCATCAGTCGTGGCTCAACATCCGGGGCTTGCCAACCCTGAGATCTCTAAGATCATCGGGGAGCAGTGGAGGAAACTGCCCCAGGACACCAAAGACACCTGGAAGGCTCTAGCAGAGGTGAGTGGAATCCACCATCTTGGGTCAACCGAACATGCCTTGTTAACGTGATTGAATGTTTAGGAGGAGAAAGCCCGCCATCAGCAGCAGTATCCGGAGTACAGATATCAGCCTCGTCGCTATGGCCGCGATGGGAGTTCCCGTAACGCCAGCTCTGGCATCAGCCATAACCCGCCCGGCTCCACAGTCTGCAGCCGGTGCGGTGGCCGAGTTATGAACCCGCCCGTATCGCCGGACGCGCCGCCTTTCACCCCCAGCACCTCGGGGCTCAATAGCGTCTCTCCACAGGCCGAGACGGTCGCCGTGCGCAGCAGTCAGGCTCGGTCCAAAGACATGGATCGGGCCTCAAGTGTGGTCCGAATCGCCTCCACCGGGGAGTCACAGTCACCTCGTCAGCGTCATTTTGAGGAGAGTGGCAGCCGGTCTCCGGATAGCAAGCGCCGTCGATTCAACCCCCAGGTTTCTTTCAAGAACAATATTCAAGGTGACCGGAGCCCTGATTCTTCGTATCCTGTCTCTCCTTACACACCTCAATCGACTGTTTCCGACATAAGAGGGTTTCTTCAATTGGCGCCACCTCAGAGACCCGTTCGAAATGTTAAGGATTTTACTCCACCGGACCCTAGCCTCAAACTCCCTCCCCTACAGACCACTGCCGTTTCTTCTTCCCAACCGGGAGCTATGACCCCTATGACTCCCTTCGCACGGGACGGATCTAGCCTCGAGACCACGGTCATGACGATCCCCTTCCTCAATAAGATCAAGGTCCTTGCAAAGATCTCACCTCCTCTCGCACCTCCATACCACGGCACCGGGGCACCACGGCGGGGGGCCGTGATCGCGGTGGATGGGCAGGATCCAACTCTGGTCAAGACAATGGTGGACCATCTCAACAGCACGCTGCAGAAGGAAGGTAGATATCAGACCCACACTTTCACCGGACCGGATATCAATCCCCGCAAGAGCTACTCCGACTCGGATCAGATGGGGGATGCGACAGTCGACTACCTTAACATCATCTCCGAATGGCACCGCATCTCCGATAAGATCATCAACTTTGTCAAGCCGGTGCGGGCCTCATCCGAGCCCAAATCCGAACACGAGGAACCCACGGGCGTGTCACCGCGAACGATAATCCCGAAGACTGCCGAAATGCAGATCAATTCACCTGAACCGGCGGCGGAGGCTGCGTCCCCGTCAGCGGCTTCGACAGAGATCAACATCCACCGGGTACCAGTGGCTCTTGTTCCTCGGTATCAGCTGACCACGGCGGACGCATTTGCATGCTCCGTGCAGATCGGCGACTCGTATGCACCACTGGATCATTGGCAATGGATGGCCTCTCTCTGGCGTGCCTGCGTGGGACCCGACATCACAGTCTACATCCGAGAGTGCGAAAAGGAGGAACTGGGCCGACACGGAGGCAATCCCGTGGAGGTCCGCCTGCAGGACGCACGAACGATCGTTGTGCGGCGGGCGGCGTCGTCCTCCAAGGAGATGGAGGAGAAAATCATGAAACGAGTAAGCTTTGAGATCGAGGACTTCCTGACGCAATGATTGACTCTGTAACTTTTTCTGACTATTCCTGAATTTTGGTTAATTTCCCCTCTCCCTGATTGTAGCATTTTCAGGCTTTCACTTCCAGCGCTCGATGCCCATTCTATATAGGGTTGTGTTCACATTCAA